CAGCGTGCCAGCCAGTTTAAACATCTCCCCTACCTCAGGTTTGATGCCATTCTCAGATCCTTTCCCCAACAACTGTTCCACCCCCAAGTTCTTGCAGCCAATAAATGTTTTAGCTGCCCCAACCCTTAAGCCAGAATTGGTCCTCCTAATTGAAAAGGTAATGAAAGCCGGGCGTTGGTGGAGCATGCCTTTAATCCCAGCACTCGGGAGGCAGAGGCAGGCGGATCTCTGTGAGTTCAAGGCCAGCCTGGTCTCCAGAGTGAGTGCCAGGATAGGCTCCAAAGCTACACAGAGAAACCCTGTCTTGAAAAACCAAAAAAGAAAGAAAGAAAGAAAGAAAGAAAGAAAGAAAGAAAGAAAGAAAGAAAGAAAGAAAGAAAGAAAGGAAAGAAGGAAGGAAGGAAGGAAGGAAGGAAGGAAGGAAGGAAGGAAGGAAGGAAGGAAGGAAGGGAGAAAGAAAGGGAGAAAGAAAGAAAAGAAAAGGTAATGAAAGAAAAACCCTAAGACAAAGAAGACAAGATCTGGGTGAAACAATTTCCACATAGTCAAGTCCTCTGACCTCCATGAGTTCAATTTAAGTGGAGAAGAGCCACACACCTGAGACAACATCACTGAAAGGTCCGAGGAGAGAATGTGTAACATCAAACATCAAAGGAAACAAAGTTAAGATTCTCCCCACTGCCCCTGGAAGCATGATGGGAAGATGCATACCATCTCTGAGGAAACAGCTTCTACCCCACCAAGTAAAACCCACAGGATTTCCACAGGGAAGGGGGCTTACAGTATCTCCTGAGCAGTGGCCTTGAGAAATATAATTTTATATTGTCTTTTTTTTTCTAGGATTGAAATGGGGATGCTCAGCTAGATCATGGCTCTTCCTGACACAGCAACTGCCACCAGAACCCTGGGAGACAAAGCTGAATCACAGAAAAAGCAGTGTCGGCCCACAGGCCAAATTTCAGCTCAGTTTTACATTTTCAGTGGCCACGTGGTGTTATTCCTGAACTTCATGTTACAAAGCAAAAGCTCCTTTTCATTATTATAGTAATGAATAAAGGCCACTGCATGGTCAAAATTAGCAGAAGTAAACACACCCACAATCTTATTGATGAGTAATATTCCTCTTCTAGCAAAAATGTCCTAGAGGGCAATGTTGAAAGATTTTCTACTGGATCTTTTTAAATCCTTATTATACCATAAGAGAGTGTGTGTGTATTAAAGGGTGAACCCAGGATCTTATGCATACTAGGCAAGTACCTTCCACTGAGCTCCATCCCCATTTTGTTTCCATACTCATTTTGTTTTATTTGCTATGGTAGCCCAGGCTGGTCTTGAATTCATCATCCTCCTGCCTATTCCTCACATTCTAAGATTACAGGTGAGCATCACCATACTCAGTAAGATGTAATCATCACCATCATCTCATTATTTTTGTTATTTTATAGAAGACAAAATTGGGAAGTCAATCTTCTTGCCCAAGCATGGGATCATGTATCAAAAGGCAGGTACTCCCTACCCCTTTTTATCTCAGGAGTGAGTTTATTTCTCCAAGCTCTACATAAGGCACAGTGACAGCAGGAACATTGGTATGGACATATTAGAGGTCAAGTCCCACTCTTCCACCCCAATGCTGCTTGATCCTTTGTAAAGTAAGATTAACATAGCCTCAATGAAATGAAAGTTAAGAAATATGGTAGAGTAAGCTATGTTGTATTCTACTTTCAGTGCCTGCTGGGCCTATCTATCAGTAGTTGCCTCAGAACAGAACCCTGGTCATAAATGGATGGTGCCATCTCCTTTTCTAAAAGACCTAAGAGCCCAGTGAATTAAGAGATTTCAAAGGGTTGAAAACCAAGGGTCCTGAAATTAAGGACACCCTGGGGTTCTGAGGTATCAAGAATTTCTCTGCCATGTGCATACTTGACAGCAGCTTGTCTTGAAGACAAAGTAAATGTGTGGTCTCTATCAGTCCAAGACAAATGCCTGTATCCTTCCTCCATGTCACCAGGTGACCGTAGATATGTATGTACACAGGTAATGGGCATTGTTGAGCTTCTGCTTCAGTGAGGGCTGGGAGTTACCTGACAGCCCACAGGGCTAATAGATGCAGAGAGAAGAAAGCTGGGACCTTAGGAAGGTCAGGGAGCTTCTTCAGATCAATGGTGACCCTTTCAAGCCCTGCCTCAAGTCTCTTGCATGTGAAACAGCTTCCTTTTAGTTCAGCATCCTTAACTCTCTGTCAATGTCTACAATTGAGCCAAGGCACAAGGAGGCCATGGAGGACCCTATTCTCAAGAAGGATAAAGACTGAGTATAATGAAATAGCCTATGCATAATATAGATACAGACAAGAGGGGAAGTGAGAAAGTCAACACTGACCACACATTGCTAGTGAAAACTGCATGTACCATTGGCCTTAAGTCCAGAACATCACAAACTACTCATGACTGTTTCAGAAATGCATGCCTGGGAACTCCATGAGAATAAGGACAGTTCCTGTGCATAACCATATCCCCCAAGCCACACATAGATGAGAGACTCTGATACTGTACTCATGGATGTGTAGGAACTAGGTGACTGAATGCGTAGGTAACTAGATGATGTGTGCAGGTGGGTAAGTGGGTGGGTGGATGGATGGATGGGTGGCTAGATGGATGAATGGAGAGAGGGCCAAATGGATAGGCATAGCTAAATGACTGTCATGAGTCAGCAGAGGGAAGAGAAATCTGAACTTTAGTCAAAATCTAGATATCAAGTCATTTCCCAGAGGTCCTTGGCCACATCATGCCATATTTATTCTTAGAAGCTAAAACACCCTTAGCCTACACTTCCTGGGCCACAAAATCTTGTCTAAATTTGGGCTGTGCTCATATGGGGTCTCATCCTTTAGACTCATCTCTCTGGCTTTCCTTCCATGTATCTCTCTTAGTTACTTTCACCCAATTCTGCTTCTAACCTGAATTCCTGGCCCTGCTTCATGTCACTTCATAGCTTCCAAATGAGACATGATTAGTTGACAGTTATGAGCAGCATACAGAACACACTAAGGCAAGTCTATATCCTAAAGTACTACTCATATCCGGTGCACACAGACTGCAGTGGCTTCCACTTCCATGCAGAAGCACAATTTCTCTGGTTTCTACTCTGTAACCAGGTCTAGGGGGAAACTCACTGACATCTAGGATAGGAAGGCTCAGCCAGGTACTGTAAATGTCATCAACTCACAAGATGCAAGTTTGTTCCACCCAATGAGACTGCAGCTCAACTCAACCTGACCTTCTCTTCTTCCCACCCTAACCTTGAAATATTTTAACCATCAGACAAAGTGGATTTTGTTTCATTTGTCTGGAGTTATGACAGAATATCCTGTGAAGAATATTGGCTTTCTTTTCCCCAAATGACATTGCCATAACTTCACATCATGGGGGAAAAAATGCCTTTAATCTAAATGAGACATGTGGTAGAGACAGTGAGTTTGCAAAGTGGCATATAGAATTGATCCCCCCCCCATAGGAAGATATGGGGGAGGGGAGAAAGGCATTCTGTTGGTAGCTGACAAAAATTTAGAACAATGATATCTTCATTTCTGCAACAAGATCCATTGCTGTGCACACATAAAAAATGGAGAGAAACAAGGAGCTGATTAAAAACTTTGAGTCACAACACTTCCTTGGTGTAAAATGTAAGACATAGGATATGGTGCATGAGGTAGCCTGGCCCTTGTGAATTCACCCAGGGCTTTGACGTTTAAATCATTCAATTCAGGTTTCTGGGTGGATCCAGAGCTTGGCACATAGTAAACACTCAATGTCATCTGTTATTATTATTTAAAGATAGTCTTATAGGGATTGGTACTATCCTATATGGTAGTACTAGTCACATGTAACTTTTAAGACTTAATTTAAATATAATATAAAACTTAGATCCTCCTCAGCACAAACGGCCTTGCAAATATGTAGTAACTACCTGTGGTTGGTTGTTCCTATAGGAGAGAGTGCACAGAAAGAGCCTTTCCAGCAAATAAATGTTCTGCTAGGAAACAATGGTTCAGAAATAAAGAAGTGGCCTGATTTAGAGATGTGGGTGACTTATATCTCAATTTCCTCATCTGTAAAAAAGAATAATTGCAACCAAATTATTCAATGCTATTGAGTATATCTAATAAATAAGTATTGAGACCAGCTTACAGTAACTGTAAACATACACACAGCTTGCAACTGGTTCACTATTGAGCATATGTTCAGAGTACCAACAATGCACTAGGCACTCTTCTAGGCAGCAGAGATTTGTGAACAAGAGCTGTGTCATGAACTTATGGTCTTAATGAAGATGCTACCCTTGCTTATGCACAACACACCTATTCTACTACTCATTAATGCCACCATCAATGGAATGCGAAGGTAAAAAGTAAAATTACCTATGAGAGAGTGCCTAAGAAACTGGAGTTATCATGGATGGGTGGGTGGGTGGGTGCATGGACAGATGGCAATAGGAACTGACAGTCAGACAGATGGGAGTCGGCTTGATAATGCTGAACCAGTGACCTAGGCTCTTGGTGAATCTAGGACTGAATACCCCTGGCAAGCGGATATGGCTAAATTGGGGCACTGTTGCCAAGCAACACTAATAAATGATCATAAAGCAGTCTGCAAACAGTATCACATACAAAAGCTTCATCACTGAAAGCAGAAATCTTAGAACCAAAACTACTGAGATATGTATGATCTTCATATGCATGCCCTCTGGCTTCTATTCTGGGATCTGCTCTGACTCACCCTGTGAGCTGGGGTTGCTTCCTAACTGAGGAACAAAAACACCCTGGGCAAATAAATATGACCCACAGCCAAGAAGTTCTACCCAGTCCCTGGGCTCTCCTGAGCGGTGCATTCTAGACATTAGGAAGAGCTTTACCAAGAAGCAATTGGCTCTGCCACTTTTCTTTCTTCTAAAATCTATAGCTCCCATCACTTGCTTTGTAGCTACCTGATACAATTACATACCTCTGGGTCTATGCTGAAGATCTGATCTGCTTCTTACCAATGATAGCTTTCCCATATTATCACTGGTCCTCTACTCTTAAGAGTCTCCTTTCATCTGCAAAGGAAAGGCCACATTTACTTCACAATATTGTTAGTGGAATTAAATGGCATCAATAAGAAGTATTTTACTAGACCATTATTGTTACAACAGAAAAACACTTGAGTCTTGACACTTTATAAGGAGGATTATTAGATCATAGCTTGGCAAGCTCAAAAGCATAATGCCAGCATGGAGCTATAAGGACCTTCTAGCTACATCACAACATGGCAGAAGGCACCCTTTTAAAGCAGATGTGAGGTGGAAGCCAGAGGGATTCAAGGACCAGGCTTGTTAGAAAAATAACCAACTCGCAAGAGGACTTGCTTGCTCTACATGAAACTCACTTTAATCCTTTTTTGAAGGTAACACACTTCAAAGGCATAGCACCTTCCACTAGATCCACTGTTAAAGGCTACCCCACTGCTCACAGGGTACACTGAAGAACAAACAAGTTTCTAGATCACAAAACCTTGGGAGTCACACTCAAACTATATGCAAACCACAGCAGTACCCAAAAGTTAGGTAGAAGCTAGCACATATTCAGTGCATGCTGAGACAATGGACAAGAGGAGATGTGATTCAAGTTCTGAGTGCTTACACTACCTATAGAGCCATCTGGTCTACCTGTGCTTCACTCACCTTCACCAATCATTCACAGGAGGGGCCCCAGCCCAATCTTCACTATCCTCCCTTCAGTCCCTGGCACACTACTTTTCCAATTTTAACACAACTCATCCCACTTAAAGTGCACAATGTATATGAAGACAGTACAAGAAACAACCACTTCTTCCATTCCCAAAATCTAGCTTCCAAACACTTAAACAGGGCAATCACTCATTATGTTTCAAGTGTCTGGAGCAAATGGGAACACCACCCAGTAGTCCTGGGATGTTTACCAAAATAAGTAACCACTGATAAGGTAAAAATATTAGTGCTAAATATCACGCTTCAAAAGACACAAAATTAGATGATGTCTAAAGTTCTTTCTCTTGTCTGATAGTCTACAGGGGTTTACTAAGCTAGAAGGACAGGGTGATTTCCTAAGTATCCTAAAATCTTCTCACAGATCTTCTCTCACCCCACTGCACCCAACATCCTTCATGGTATGGGCTCTAATTGCAGTAACCTTCATATAATATTCATATTAAAATCACAGGTCATGTCTGTCTCTCATACAAACCAAGTTTTTCCATTAAAAAAATGTATATTTATTATATTCTGGTTGCCCTAGGCCATTGGCTGGGTAAAACAGAAATCAACAATCTTTTCAAATTCCTTGTGCTGTGTATTCTCTGAATGTCTACCTGATAGCCGGCTCAGTATACAGGCATGACAATAACCCTGGCTGATTTTCAAAGGCACAAAAATAATTTCTGGGTCTTCAAGGCATATGGGTGAACCTCAGAATTAAAAATGCTGCCACAGAACATGAACAGGATTGTGAAGGCTGCCAGGAATTCAGGACAGAGCAAAGAATTCCAGAGATAGAGACAAGAGAAGCAAGATCAAGCAATGGCTTCAAAATGATCAGAATTTAGATAAGACATATAAAATGGGGAAGCAAGAGAGACCTCTGCATTCAGAACCCTGGATCTTTCTGATCATGACTTCTCTGTCCAGCCCATCTATTCAGATATCTTCCTTTGTAGTTCACATTGGTCTGGAACTAATTGTATAGTTCAGGCTGGCCTGCAACCCACAGCAATCCTCCTGCCTCATCCTACTGAGTTCTGGAATTAGGCATGCATCATCCTCATCTGGAGCTGACCTTTATAGATCCAACTAAAGATCCCTGCAGTGTCCTCCCAAGTTCGCCAATCCCTGGGCTACACTGCTTGACCTGACCCTTCAGCCTCCTTATGTTCCCAATTCCCTGGGCACTGACCCAAAACAACACTCTCTGAGTTGGTATTAAGTATAACAGGGCTAAAATTAGGGCTGTTTCCATAGATATCTACAAGTCTGTGGAGCAAATGTTTGGCTCCCAAGTGGAATAAAAGTCATGTTTCCATTCTGACTGCAATGTAACCCTGAGAAACACAAATGAGCCCATGTGTACTGGTGCTTCTGAACCTTCCAAACCCTTTGGGCCCCTTACCTGTGCTAGCAACTACCATGGCCAAGTGCATGTGGGCTAACATATGCCACCAGCACCTCAGTGTTCTTGCTTCATGATAGAGGAAGGGAATGTTCTTTCCACTCCATTCCAAAAACAAGAAGACTGAAGGAATCCACTCACCTGCAAGCTACCATATCACCCAAAGCCAAGAGTTAAGAAACTTGGCTTCAACTTGTTCAGAGAAATATCACAGGACTCTGCAGCCAAAGGAGAAGATAAAGTGACACCAAGCCTAGCTAACACTAATCACCAATGCTTCCTTCTAGGCTCTGCATTCAGAGTTTCAACAGATAATCTCTGCACCCAAGTTAAGGGTTCAAATGTACATCCTTAAAGTAGATATGTTAGGTCCAAATCATTAGCACTTCATAATGTGACATTATTTGGGAACGACATTACTGCAAATATAACAGATGAGGCATACGGGGTAGGAAAGACCTTTAGGCCACATGGCTGATGGTATAAACAGGAACAGAAGGAAACATGGCCTAGTGTAACCAGTGATGCTTCTACCAGTTAAGGAACACAAATAACAGCAGTAAAGCACCAGAGGCTTGGAAGACACAGGTAGCCCTGACAATTCACTGAGCTTCAGACTTCTGACCTCTCAACTTGCAAGACAATAACATGTGTGAGTCTGCACCACCCCTTTGTAGCACTTTATTAAGTCCAGTTCTATGAGACTCACTGTCCTTGTTACAATGTCAAGTGACCTAGTCTCTGACTCATCTGGATGTTCCATGAGGAAACCAAAGCTTCATTAACAGTAAATGCCAGCAGAGAATACCAATAGTGATCCTGAATACTTTATACATAGTAACTCATTTAATCCTCAACAGACTCTGAGTCTGTGGCATGTTACAGAAGAGGAAAGTCATGCACAACGACATTAAATACGTTGCTCAATGTCACAAGGTTGTATGTGATGAAATCTGAGTTAAAATCCAGACCCAGAATATTCTTACCCAGCTACAGCTGCCTAAATCAAGAAGCAAGTGATTAATGGAGACTTACTCTCGGGTGGTCAGGTTTCAAACCTCTTTATCTCTTCCATATGTATTCCACTTGCCTGTACGGAATGCTCTGCACTAGGTAACCACACAAAATGACAACTGAATTAAACTACAGTGGCTTCCAGAAATCTCATAATTTTGGCACCACTCCATATGGCAACAGGTATTAGGAAAGAAACTTGATCATCTCCAAGGAGGCATAGAAAAACAGTTCATCTTTCACGATGTTTTTTCTGTATCTGGAATTCAATTAGCATTTAATGTACACCTGTGATGTTCCAGCCCTGTGTTAGTGAAGTACACAAGTGACAGAGGACAAACTCCCAGAAATTTTAGTAAGTACCAAGACTGAAGTTAGAACTCAGTTGCAGTTGCAGCACAGTGGGGCTGAACTTAGATCTACACAAGAAAGTAGGGAGGTCTTCAGGGCAGGGCATGGAAACCTCAAACTTCATTGCAGCTTTTCCAACACTGCCATGACACAGGCATACCCAAACAGAATGCATCTCCCCTCTTCCTCCCTCTCTGAAACTTCTTCATACAACAAAGAGCTTTCTTTCACCCAACGAAGCACACTGAAGGGGTAGAGAAACTCAACATCAGACTTTGGATTACTGCTCTATAATAAAGGATGTGGAGTTAGTTGATTACCTTTAGAATATACTTAAGAGCAGAGCTAAGTTAATTCATAGATCATCAGCAATGGTGTTGTGGCAGATAAACTCTTCAATACAAAGCAAACACCACAGGGAAAAGTGGGGAAGATCTAGAAGCATCTAGAAGAGAAGGAATCAGATCAACAACCATTATCATTAGCTACACAGAAAGCTGGCTTGACCATCACAAGAGCTATGTGGCAAAGCAGAAATAACCAACACACCCTAAGACTTGAACCTGCCTTCATCAGTGATCTCATAAAGTAGGTATTTGAGCATCTATGCCCTATAGAGTCTTTCTTAGAACATGTGATCAGAGGGCATTGAGCATTGCCCAGCACAGGGTAGACATGATTGATGCACCCAGTCTCCATCTAAGAGATCATGATAGTGCCTGGGAAAATAAAAGGCTGCTGTTCTTCTCCGTCAAAAATACCATACCACCATCTCAACCTGTGTTACTTAATGTTCTTGAACCTGAGTTTCCACATGAAAGCACTCTGGCATGTAAGAACTAAATGTTTAGCAGAGGGCATCCAAAGGCCTCACCAACCTCCTGCTGGGAACTAGAGGAAAAGCCAAAGCAGAGTGAGAGGCAGCATCAAGAGCTTCACCTATCATAACTAAAAAAAAAAATCAAGCCTCGCTTCCTTCCCTTTCTGCCGATTCATCACAGACCAGGTGAGCGACCCCCCTGCTTTTACCCAACTCCTGTCCTAAGCGCCATTCACCCAGATCCCTCCAGGCTTGTCCCTGCTTGAAACAGACACGCCCAGGAGGGAGGAGCTCCCTGAATCTGGGTACAGGCCACTCTTCCTTCCGTTCCCGGCGACCAATCGGCCAGGAGATAAGTGATCCACCGCTCTTACCCAACTCCCTATCAAAGCCCCATCCATCCCGATCTCCCTGGGCCTGCTCCTGCTTGGGGTAGACCTGTGCAGGCAATAAGGAACCCCCAGAGCCAGGAAACACCCCACTCTTACTTCCTGTCCTGCCCACACACACCCAATCCCTATGGAGGCCTAACTCCTTCAGAGTGAGGAGACTATGAGGAGAGGCAAGACCATCCAGAGCTTCTGACATTGAATTCCTGGCCCACACACACTACAG